CCCCCAGGCTGAAAAACCAAACCAAAACTTTTTCCTTTTTTTAAATGCTTCCATTCTGGGGTTTGCAGGAGCCAACACCTCGTTCCCTGCCCCTCTGCGAGCTGGCTCTGCGCGCAGAAGTGGCAGTAGACGTGTGAGCCTCATGCTACTCTGTAATGTGTAAATATTTAAAATCTTGCTAGGACATTTTAAAATAATATGTTTAATTTGGGGAATATTTTACGCTGTTAAAAAATAAATCAGCCTGTCAAGTCGGCTTAAGTTTCATGGTTAGCTTTCATCTCCAGGTTTCCTACCTTTTTCAAGAGTAAGGTGATCCGTTTCTGCTGGGGAATGCTAAGTTATACCCTATGTGGTATCTGGAGAAGTTGTGATTAAAGGGTACAGTTACGTTCTTTTTCTGATTAAGAGATAAATGTTCCCTTTGTTTTACTTAATTGTGCTGTGTAAAATAAAAAGGAACATTGGGGTAGAGCCATCTTTGGGATTGGTACCATGGGAAGAATAATGTAATTGGAAATTAAAAGCCATGTCTGTGATAACATTAGGCACTCCGAAACACAAACTAATGTATGCGGACTAATATACAGCTCAGTTTTCTCAGTGAAGATGGAGAGGAGTGTTTCTTACAACTGTCATAACATATTCCTAAGTACGTTGTTATAAATATAGCTACAGATACATTTATCCTGTCATCTTCATTCCAAAGGTTGCAGCAAATACTGGTAGAATGAAAGCACCAGACTTGGGAAGAAGTTTTCTCACTCAGTGTAGTCCTTCTGCTGAATTCTCCCCTACACCTCCTCCAGTTCCTCATCAAAGAACTCATCGTCATAAGCTTAATATCTTTACTTTGAAGGCACTTCCTGATCCGTCTTTGCTGCACTATCCTCTTCAATGTGTATCACAAACATTTATACCATCCTTTTTTTAATATATACGTATACACGCACATGTATGTGTATATATATATATAAGTCAAATGAAAGTCTTTCTGCTTTCTCAATGCTGTTTACAGTAGGAATGCTTTGGGGGGGATTTCTGTCCCATTATCTTCCTCGAGGTTTTTGCTTTGAGTGTTTCTTTGCTATTAAATTCTTTAAAAAAACCCCAACAGCAAAACTCTTGATGTCTTGACATACCAAAGGCCTGACTAATGTTTCCTTGTTATTGTTTTCTTTCTGCCTGAATCCATCTGTCGCTTGTTTACGTATTTGAATTGTGAGTTTTTTGGGGTAGAGAACTTCAGCTTACAATTATACTCAGAAATAAGCTGGTAGAATTGTAGTACATGATAAGGAAGTGACACAGGGAGAAAGAACTTCTAGTAACAGTTACTGTTTATATTTCAGTCCCATTTTTAGTGTGCGGTTAAGTGTAGAAAAGCCAAGTTCTATAGAACATTAAACTTCTGGTGTTCCAATAAAACGAACGCTGACTGTGTCTGTAAATTGAGTGCAGCCTGCCTTGCCCTCTAAATCAACTGCAAAAAACATTATCCATCAGAAGGCCAGTATCATTATTCCAAAAACTATGAGTTTCTTGGGAGAAACTTGTATGTATACCTATTAGATTAGTTTTATTTTAATATATATGCATTTAAGAGCTTAAACATATATTTGGAATAAAAACACGTTCTGTTCTGGAATAGACAAATCTTCTTGCTGAATTACTCTTGGAAAACAGACTCAGCTTCCCTATAGATATGCCAGGTGCCTAACGAAAGGTTACAAGCTCCACACGCATGCGTGTGTGGACGAGTACTGTGTTTAATGTGTGGTTTTGCGCAAACAGTTCTTGTTTGCGTGCCCTGGATGTGCATGTGCAGGATTTCAGGCTCCGTTGTGTCACTGCTTTCTTGGAATAAGACTCTGTAGGCTATATGACCCGGGGTAGGAAAGCATATATGCTCATTTCCCAAAGCTATGGGTATTGATGAAGTTGTCTTTAGATGGATGGGAAAGGTGAGATTTGTTTATATGGTGAATCAAGCTGTTGCCAAAAGAGAATTAATTTGATTGCAACTGTTCAAGTATGTGCCCATTCATGTTCTAGTCAGTGTCTAGAAATGATATCAAACCCGTTATTGTTATGATTAAATTGCATGGAGGTCATCAAAACTACACGTCAGCCATTTAATTATTTACAGTGCCCCCTTTATTACAGCTCTCTTGCATAGGTAAACGACATGGTTGAATATTTGCACCCTTCTCTCTCTCTCCAGTAGCTGTCTTGTGTAAAACTACTTGCTTTCCTGGAATCTAACGCTTACTGTTGTGGCATGTGCTGTGGTTCATTGAAAACCTCAAGCTGTTAAAACCATCTGTGCAACCGAAAGAAGTGAAACTGC